AAAAACGAGGGAGGTTACTTTTTAAATTCGGTTCACCCTACTAGCAATATTTTATAAGGGAAAATATTTTTTCTTTGGAGAAAATTTTTCTCGTATGTTAGAGATTCATAATATAAGTGGGGCCCACAAAATAATGGAGAGAAAAATAATTTTAAGGTGAGACTCACTTATGTTATGAGTCATTAACATGAGAAAAATTTTATCCTTTAAAAGAAAAAATGTTTTTCCAATTTATAATTAGTAAAATGATTTTTTGATAACATTTTCGGTAAAGAAAATTTTCTATCATATTTTTTGAAATCATGATTTTCGGATAATTTTTTTTTTTCTTCTAATAAACACTACTTTTGTGAATAGTCATGAAAACGTAGACTTGTAGAGGGTAGCAGCTTATGGATTCTCAAGTGTGTTGATGGATAAATCACTGCTATACCACCTGAGAAATCTTTCTGCACCGACATTTAGGCTGTCCCGATAATAGAGAGAAATTGATGTTCGAAAACATGTATAAGATAGGAATTAGAAGGAAACCAACTGCAAGGTTGAGTCACGTTTTTTTCCCATTAATCACTGTCCTTTAACCTTTTGATAACAAAAGAAATTCATCATATCGTTGACACCAGGTGTCTAATTTGCAAAGATTGTGATGAAATAATATAAATCATTATCATCATATTGCATACCGAAAGGTATGGAATTTTCTTTTGACGAGTATCACGTGTTCAGAATTTTCCTTACGTTTGTGTTTCACATGTCGCATAAGTTAAAGGAACATTTAAACTTCAAGTTATTTCTATTATTTATTAACATAGCCTCCTTATGCTTCTCTAGAGGCTATGATGCACGGACACGGGACACGACACGACACGCCGACACGTTAATTCTAAAAAATATCATATTTCGACACGTTTTGATATTAAATAAATTTTTTAATATATATAATATAATTTATATTTAATACATATAAGAGTCCATAATAAGTCATATAACCAAATAAATATTTAAGTTTCATAACATAAATATAAATATAAATAATTTTTCTAATTTTTCTAATTTTTCATGTCAAATTTCATAAGAGAAAAAAATTAATTTACAAATTATTTCTTTTATATTTAGTTAACAAAATAAAATTAAGATTAAAAAAAAAAAACGTGTCCTAGAATTGACCGCGTGTCGGAAAAAGTTGGCTGCGTGTCGAATAAACGTGTCGGAACGTGTCGGAGAGTTGATCACGTGTCCCTAAATGTTAATCGCATATCGGACGCGCGTCGGAGCGTGTCTGTGTCGCACACGTGTTCTACACACAAATTTTTTTAAAAGTAACGTGTGCGTGCTTTGGAGTCTATAGGCTCATGTAGACACTAGAAAGTCTTTTTTTCCTTTTCTTTATTCTAATAGCGTTCATCTAGCGGAAGAACTTGTGCCATGGAAATCTTGATTAATGTGACATGCAATTCCTTACATAAAAATATTGGGATGTAGGTCATTGGTGCAGATACAGTTAAGAGAAAAATAGTTAAAGAAAAATAATTATATAAATCAAGTGCATGCATATGTGATACGTCAAGTGTTGAAGAAGGAGCGAGAAAATCAGTCTCTACTTCATGATTGAGTTATATATTAATTAGTTATTCTGATTTTGATATTGCTCGGAATCAAGGTACCACACTAATGATATCAAGCATATCATCAGAATCAATATCAAACAGATCCTTACTTTTCAGACTTGGTTATTAATTATGATCATCAAAATATTAGAAGCTTTTTTTAGTTAAAAGAAGGAATACCGTTAAGACACCATTTGAAAATTGTCAATTATATGAGTATATCAAACAAGGATATCCCACATAAATATTTAACTCCTATAATATAACTTAGACGCCAAGTAATTAACAATCAAGAGCCTCATAATAAGTAAGTGACAAATTTTGAACTCACATGTTCAATAGGAGGCTTTACAAGTTTTGGAAGCAATAACTCTGCACCTGGCTATATTCAGCGAAGAGAAAAGAAAAGAAAAAAACAATTGCTTTGGTCCATTAATGTACAGTATATGAAGACGTCCTTAAATGTCAATTTGTGATCTAGCTTAATCTGGTGGCATTGAGGTTCATTGTTTGTCAATGAAGAAGAAAAATAATAACATGGATGGCGGCGTGATCACTGTCTCTTTGAAATGAAATAGATTGCTATTATATTTTCAAACATTGCGTGTTCTATGAGTAAGTGGATTTCCCTTCGCACACTCCATTCCAATTTTTGCAATATCCCTTTCATGGCTAAATTACAAGTTAATTAAATGTTTTTTTTTCACAAATGAAAAAAAATTTAATTAAAAAAGTTTGAAAGAGCTCTATAATATTATTAGGGATTGGCCCAGAGAAAAAAAATTTACTTGCGAGGAAACAACCTTGATACCTCAAGGAACATAGCCTTTATATGTTCACATTCATATATGCATGGTGTCACTTTCATAGGGATGATTACTTTAGCTTCCCTTAATTTAGCTAATAAAATTTCTACTAGTACTTTCTATCTCACGCAAGCAGAGGCAAAACATTTGCATGGTTTGTTAAGTTCCATTTTGTCAAAATCATTGCCGTTTTGGTTGCCGGGTTTGATGGCTTTCTAAGTAGGAATCAATGCATAATTTTTGGCCCATTTATATATTATATTTTATTTATTGGGATAAGTTATAGTTACAACTTTTTTTTTACAATCTCTTACAACCATATATCATAACTGTTGATTTCTGCCAATCAACGGTTATGATTTTCGCAAATTAAATTCATTAATTAATTATTAATTCATAATAAATGACAACCGTTGATTGACGGAAATCAACGGTTATAATATATGGTTGTAAGAGATTGTAAAAATAAAAAGTTGAAAGTATAACTTTCCTTTTATTTATTTATTTATTTCAAGAGAAGAAGTCTTGTCCGCATAAAAGAATGGGATAGGATATTGTGACATACAAATAATGTTACGCACAATGTTACGACCACATCTTAACCGTTGATTTCCGTCAATCAACGGTTATTATTTTTCAAATCAAACTCATTAATTAATTATTAATTTTCAAAATTAAATTGCATTTTTTCTCAATTTTTTTTTTGAATTACATTATCTTTATTTTTATTTTGAAAAATTACTTTTTTTTTTTTCTTTTTGTTATACAAGGCTGAGACTGAGATTCGATCAATAACTTTGTACAGAATACCCAAGCCTCTCACCATTATACTAATCCTAGTGGTTTTACATTATCTTCTATGGATTTAATCAAAAGTGAATGTAGATAAGTTATCTACATTCACTCCCAAAACGACGTCGTTTTATGCTTAAAATTTAAAAAATTATAATGAAAAAACTTATTATAACCCTGAAATAAATTATAATTACAAAAATACCTTGATTTCCGCCTCAAAACAACGTCATTTTGAGCTCACTATAGATAAGTTATCTACATTGAATGTAGAAAAAACGAACCCATCTTTTATATACTTTAATTCATTTTAATATAGACAAACTCCTCAATGACAGTGGGCAATTATAAAACGAGGTTCTCATGGACATGTTTTATTCACATATGCAACTCTTAGCATTACTCATGATTAGTTTCAAATACCCATATTATTGATTTTGTGACTTTAGAAGATAAAATAAAGTTTTGAACAACCCTTCTATTGATTTTAGGATTTTAGCTAAAATCTTATTTTCATTTTATCAAATTTTAAAGTCATTAATAAGATGTTCAAAATTAATCGTTAGTTATGCTAAGAGTTATAGATAAAGAAATTTGACTACAAGAAATTAGGTTCATTTTAAACTACTAGTTCTAAGTAAGAGGTTGATTTATATTAAAAAAGGGTTACATTTTTATTACGTTGTTAGAAAAAAGTTATCTGCAACAACCTATTATAACTATGTACTACATGTAGTACATAGTTATAATGGTAATTTTTTTTCTCTCTACCAAGTCAATCGACAATGTCTAAGAAGAGAAAAAAAATAACTTTAATATTATAACTATGTATTATCCGCAGTATAAAGTTATAAGGATTGTTGCAGATAACTTTTTCTTGCAACAATAAGACAATAATTTCCCATTAAAATATATTAGAGAGTATTATATATTTTTTTATACAGTGTGGGAATTGAATACATAACTTAATACAACCTATTCAAACCCCTCATTATTAGACCAAATCTAGTGGCTTAGAGTATCATATTTTTATCTCTCCAATAATGATGTTAAAGAGATATAATATAAAAGCCATTTAAGAGCCTTAACTTCTAAGCTTAAGCCAGCAAGTGAAGGCTCAACTAATAATTTTATATATTTCTGTAATACATCTCCTCACATAAGATGTTAGAGCCATATATTATATTCTCTAACACACTTCCTCACTTGAAGCATGTATATTGGACAAGCCTAATTTTTTTTATTCTACCTTATTATCCCGTTAGAAAGTGGGGGACAATAAGGATTAAACTAGTAACTTCATGGTTACTTTGGCTCTAATGTTATGTAAATAACCATTTCAACCAAAAAGTTTAACCTTATAAATAAAGGCCCATTACTTGTTTATATTATATCTCTCTAATGAATGAATTTTTTTTCAAAATAGATGAAAAACAATATAATTTAAGCATTTCTAAAAAAAGAAGAGTGTAACTGCTTTCAACTGATTGTCAACCAAGTGGCTCATACATGCTTTGAAGTAGAATGTAGGCAAGCAGAAAATAGTAACAACAGCTGAGTCAATTTTAAATTATAAAGAAGGAAAAAATAAAAATAAAAATCAATAGAGAATAACATCAAATGCATGACCCTTTACCTGTAAACTGTCATGGTTTGATACAGTGTGGCTCGTGTATGCATAGTGTCCAAAGGTTTTGTCTATAAATAGAGCATCAATTTCCTGCTCTATTAGCAGGAGAAAATCTCTTCTTTTCAAACCCTTCACCTTTCCATTTTGTAATCTCTCTCTTAAAAAATGAAGACTATGAACCTAAACATCATTACATTGATCATTACCATTGCTTTTTCTGTCTTGTCTTCAAGCTTTGAAAGCTGTAGTGCCATACGTGGAAACCATTGGAGGAAACTCAAAGCTGTTATTACTGCCTCTTCTACTTTTAATGTGTTAGACTATGGTGCTAAAGGAGATGGACATGCAGATGACACAAAGGTGATTTCAGATTGATTCCTTATTTTATTATGTATTCAATGTCACGTTGCTTTCCCCCATTAATTTCACTTTTCATGCAGAGTGAAGTTCACCAAGACAAAATGATAGACATCTAAGAATTCCACACTTGGAATAACATATTTGCTGATTTAATTCTGATGCTTAAAGGATTACAAAAGTCAATTGCTGCTTCCTCAGCCTTATTTTGCTACAACAAAATCAACATAAATAATCCCACAAACCATTGATTCTATTTGTATCTGTAACAAATATATAAAATCATTAATGTAGCTTCACCCAACAACTTAAACTTTTAGATTGAAATGGTTATTTACATGATATCAGAGCTTCGGTGTCTCAGCTTCGATCCTCGTCGCCTCCCATTTTGTGTGTGGAATTTCTTAGCTCCCATTTTTTCAGATGGTTCCTTTTTAGTCCTTTTTCCTCTTTATCTCCCCCACCTCTTTTTTCCCCTTCTTTTATCACTTTTATATTTATATATATATATATATATATATATATATATATATATTATTACTATTTTATTTTTTATTTATTTTATATTAACTTTTTTCAACCCTTTCGTATCTTTTATTTGGGTTCATCTACCACTGACCCCAATTAATTTGGAATAAAGGTGTTATTGATGTTAATGTTGTTGAGGTAAGCTGAGACTGATGCATCATCCACCCTTTCAAATCTAGTGACTCTTTTGTGAAAGAGCGTGCTAGAGATATATAAAACCATTAACATAGCTTTACCCAACAGAACTTTTGGGTTAAAATGGTTCTTTACAATATCTAACTATTAAAAATAATTATTGAGGTACTAATGCGTAATAAATTATTGCCATCGGATATAAATAGGAGCAAGACTTTTTAAGTTTAAACTAAGTTGTCAATGTTTCCCTTACATACACATATGCATATAATTTATCGTAACTATTACAGCTTCTTATTATATCTATTCCTATAACTATCCACTTGGTACTGCATTTAAAAACAGGCCTTTGAAGCCGCATGGGAAGCTGCTTGCAAGATGGAGGCCTCAACAATGATTGTTCCATCTGGTTCTGTGTTTCTGGTGAAACCAATCTCTTTCTCAGGCCCTAATTGTGAACCAAACATTGTTTTTCAGGTGAATGAATTAATCTCTCTTCCTACTTTTCCCTGCAATATGTTATTAGGACTCTTCAATCATACACACAATCTCAAATCACCATCCAAACACTATAAACACTGGACTATAGGACAAGTGCATAAAATGTTCATATGATGTTTTAACATATTATGTTCATAAAAATACATGTAGTTGGATGGCAAAATCATTGCACCTACAAACCCTGCAGCATGGGGCTCAGGTACCTTGCAATGGCTTGATTTCACTAAGCTTAATAAGATTACAATCAGAGGTAAAGGTGTCATTGATGGTCAAGGCTCTATCTGGTGGAATGACTCACCTACTTACAATCCTTCAGAAGAATCAGCCAATAGCTCTGTTCTTGCCAAACAGATGCAAGAAAATAGTGGAAAAATGCCAAGAACCAGACCAACAGTAAGAATCCTTACACTGAACTTCTCCTTGAGATTGAAACTGAAATTCTCATGAATTTTGCTATTTCTTTACATGCAGGCACTCAGGTTCTATGGAAGTAACGGTGTAACTGTCACAGGCATAACGATTCAGAACAGTCAACAGACCCATCTCAAGTTTGATTCATGCACAAATGTTCAGGTCTTTGATATAAATGTTTCATCACCTGGTGATAGCCCCAACACAGATGGAATCCACTTAGAGAACTCTCAAGATGTGGTCATCTACAGCAGCACAATTGCTTGTGGTAAGTGTTAAAACAAGTCTAATATAAAATCATTAAAGCGACTTTCACTAAATCTTTTGGGTAAAATTGTTGTTTAATATGGTATTAGAGCCTATGACTAAGTGATTATGAATTTGATCCTGACTGTCTCCATTTTTCTAATAAATATTGAACCGCGAAATCTCTTAACACGGATTGGTGAGTCGGTGTATAATTCACCCTTCAAGTCCAATCAGCTCTAGTACGAAGGAGTTTGTTTAAAAAGTCTAAAAGTATGGCTTAATAATATGCTTAATTCTCAAAATCCTAGAAGTTCCATTTCATCATCTTGTATGAGGTAGCAAACACAAACACTGTAGTCAAATACTGATAAAAGAAGCAAACTGTCAATAACTTCTTCATGATTGTAAATGTCAGGCGATGATTGTGTCTCTGTACAAACTGGATGTTCCAACATATATGTACACAACATCAATTGTGGACCTGGTCATGGAATCAGTATTGGAAGTCTTGGAAGGGAGAACACCAAAGCCTGTGTTAAAAATGTCACCGTCAGAGATATTACAGTCCAAAATACCTTGACTGGTGTCAGAATAAAAACATGGCAGGTATAATTACATTGAATAGATACTTTCGTGTTTTGTTTCGGGGAAGAGTTATATTTACAAATTTTTTGTTTACAAATTACACTATGTCTTCCCGGTAAGATATTCTTGAGTGAAGTCTTACTAGTAAGATATAGTGTAATTTGTAAATCTGTAAAAAAAAAAAAAGTTTGTTAATATAATGCTCCTCTTAGTTTTAATATAATCTGATTATGTGAAAAATTTAAATCATTAATTAAAATCTGTGTCATTAGAATTGTGACAGTTATTCTAAATGAACTATGAGATTTTTCACATGATATGATATTTTAAAACAAGACATAAAGAGGATGTGTTCCCATCTTATCACCCCTTATTCCAGCTAAGTAAGTTAAACTAAGTTAATTAAAATTTGTTGTACTTTTATTCCACAGGGAGGCTCTGGTTCAGTCAACAATATTATGTTCTCGAACATTCAAGTTTCTGGGGTTCAAACACCAATCTTGATTGACCAATACTATTGTGACAGTGGCAAGTGCCGGAATAATACATCAGCTGTGGCAGTGTCAGACATAAACTATGTAAATGTAAAAGGAACATACACTAAGGAGCCTCTTTATTTTGCATGCAGTGACAGCTTACCTTGTACTGGTATAACCCTGGATACCATACAGCTAGAATCAAGTCAAAAAACTCAGAACTCCAACGTTCCATTTTGTTGGGAAGCATATGGGGAGTTAAAAACTAAAACAGTTCCTCCTGTTAATTGTTTAGAGAAAGGTAACCCATCAAGTACTTGGATCCATTCTAATAAAGATTCTTGCTAAACTTATATCACTACAATATCAAGGATAGATTATGAGATCTGTTTATCTCATGCAACAGAGATAAAATAATGAGGTCCACTATTTTTTAACAAAATAAGAAAAAAAAAATAGTGAATCCCACTACTTTGTTTATGTTGCATGTGATAATTATCTACTATAGATTATACATAGAAACAAGAGTTTATTGGTTTCATTTTATTTTATTTTTTTATCACGCGTCTGTGGACTTTAGCCTTAGTTTACAGGTGTATTGGATTGTTCACAAATCACATGGCATTAGCAACATCTCATATTGTCATGATGGGCTAGACCCTTGTATGATGATAATGGTTGATTTTACGAGTCATTGGTTTCTTGGGGAGAATCATAATATGGTATGGTCCAATGCACACTTGGGTCCATTGGCCATGTCTAAATTTATCGTATGCACATATCAATGTTGTGTCAATCATATTCATGTCTTGTATATACTGTAATGTCTAATATGAAGTGATGGCTTGTCAAACAAAATGGATTCAATGAAAATATGCATTTTAACAAGCAGACACTATAATTGCCTTTTAATAAACTACATTGACCACTTCTACAGGGTGAATCAATCTTCCTCAACCCACGTCCAATTTTAATTTTTCCCTCCATGTTTCTAGCATTTTAATTTATCAAAATCAAGCTTTAATAAAAGAGAATGGATAATGAATTAGGAAAGAGAAAGCGGAGAACACAAGAAATTTGAGGGAACTCAAAGAAAGAGAAGGTATATCGACGAAAGGGCAATGATTTAAACATGGATAAACCCAACTCCGGAGTATTTTAACCTTCAATTTATCCCTTTTTATGGTAAAATTAAAATAAAAAAATTGTGGCCCATTTAATTGAACGGCATTTGGTAGAATTATATTTTAAAACTCTAGAGGATTTACTTCCTTCAAACGTGCAACTTCATTTGCTAAAACACTCACATAGCCAAAAACAGTAACGAATTAACTCAATTGACTTGGTTTAATCGTGGATGAACATGTAATGAATGTGAATAAACATAAATATATAGTTATTAATTATGTCAATTATTTGGAATTAAGACTACCATCATGAATTCGTTAATAACAAACATAAGTAATTGAAGTTATTTAACATCATGAGAGGATTGTAAGCATCATTGAACAAATTAACAATGATGATTTTGTATCATCCTATTCTGATATTTTTTCTAAGTAATCTATTTTTAGAAAGATAAAAAAGGTAAATTGATAAAAAAAAGCAGCATATTTTTTTTTATCTATAAATTAAAATTCAACCGAAAAAGATAATTATTACTTACAATTTCAGGTAAAATCATAATTTTATTAAAAAAAAAATCACCTAAAAGTAACCTGTGATATATAACTTAAGAATCAAGAATTCTCAAACCTTAGTGCTAAGAATCTTTTACCTCAAGCGATCCTCTTCTTTATGATATTATGTACAATAATTCGATAAAATATTTTTAAAATACCTCGTCCTTTATTATTTAAACCAAAATTTAAAAGAAACTCAATTGAGATTGGGAGTAAATTTAGCATGCAGAAAAATAATGTTAAAAAAAAAAAAAAAAAAAAACTCAGGCCAAGAAATGATCTACAGAACCTGCATTTATTACCTACAAGGATCCAACCAAAAAACGCTGACGTTTCACCAAAGATCTAAATGCGACGCCGTATCACAAGCATTTGTCATTAAATAACGGTGTGAAGGAAAAATTGCTTTCTCTCTCTCTCTCTCTCTCTCTATCTCAAGAAAAAGAATCGCGACTCGCTCTTTTCGAAAACCTCGAAAATCAGAAGAGGTAAATTTCAATTTCAATTTCCGATTTTATTTCCTTCGATCTCTTTCTATTTCAATTCATCTAAAAAACAACGATAATAAAAGAAAGAATTCATGTTCCAATTTTTCTTATTATTATTATTATTATTATCATTATTTTCGGATTGGATCGAATTTCTCGATTGGCGATCTGCGATTGGGTGATTAATTGCTTTATTTCGTGTTTCGGTGTGATTGATTGTGTGGATCAGCGATTGGTGTGAGTGAAGATGGGGTTGACGTTCACGAAGCTGTTCAGCAGGCTATTCGCGAAGAAGGAAATGAGGATTCTGATGGTAGGTCTTGATGCTGCTGGTAAGACAACCATCTTGTATAAGCTCAAGCTTGGAGAAATCGTCACCACTATCCCTACCATTGGTTAGTTCAGCTCCCACTATACTCATTCATTTTCCTTTTTTTCTTTTTTAATATAACATTTCATTATAATTATGTAGATCTCAACCCTAAAATATATCATTAAGATTATCATAATGTTTATACTTTTCAAATGTTTGAAAATATGACCTTTTGGGGTCAAAATCTGACACGAAAAGATTAACACGATAAACAATTATAAGTGCTTGCGTATCAAATATTTGTAATTGATATCGTCGAAAAAATAATGTTGAAAGATATATATATATATATAGGGTTCGCTTTTTCTGCAGTTACTACAGATAAGTTATCTGCAGTAAACTCAATACGACGTCGTTTTGGGGCGGAAATCATTGTATTTTTGTAATTTTAATTTATTTCAGGGTTATTATAGTCTTTATATTTATAATTTTCTAATCTTTTAATCCCAAAACGACGTCATTTTGGAAGTAAATGCAGATAACTTATCTGCATTAACTGCAGAAGTATTTTTCTGATATATATATGTTAATATATTAGGCATATAGATAAAGTGCCGTGTGCTTAATGTTTTGGTTGGGTTATTTAATTGATGTATCACCTTGATAATTGTTTTTATTTTTTTCTTCATTAGAGAAGTTATAATAAAAGGGGAAGGATATTGTAATAACCAATTAGTGTTACTACCAATAAGTGTTACTACCAATGTTACTACCAATCAATTTCACCGTTAGATCGATTATGTTGATCCAACGGTTATATTCATTTCCATCTTTGTGTGGTTATGATTCCCCATATTTAATTATTTATATTTATTTTCACCTTTGTATGGTTATGATTTTTCATATTTAATGCTTTCACATTAAATATAGGAATCATAACTATACAAAGATGAAAATAAATATAACTGTTGGATCAACATAATCAATCTAAAGGTGAAATTGATTGGTAATAACATTAGTAGTAACACTAATTGGTTGTTACAATATCTTACCCTATAATAAAATGTAAAAAGGTTACTTGATTCTAGGAGGCTACATCAGCACCTAACAAATTCATTTGTGTGAAGGAGGGGTGATTTCACAACTACAATTTAGAGGAGGTGGACGTATATATTGTATATGCTGCAGACAACTTTTAATCATTTGTATATAGATTCAGTAGTGATAGAAATTGCATTCTATTCTGTACTAGAGTTATTGAGCGGTGTAACAGTGTAAGTGTGATTATCTTACCCGATTGTCAATTGATCCCTTCTCTATACACACAAATACCAATTTATTTTTACATTTCTGCCACTTGTGGAATAATATTATTATTGACCAAGGAAAGTTAGACATTATGAATTGGGTTTGATAAAGCAGTATTTCCTCTTGATAGTTAACTAATGTGGTGTGTTTCTAAATGTTTGTAATTGTATGGTATCTCATGGTTGTGTTTGTGTATGTAACTATGTATAAAATAATGGGAGTCATTTTTTATCTGCAGGATTTAATGTTGAGACCGTGGAGTACAAGAATATCAGCTTCACTGTGTGGGATGTTGGTGGTCAGGACAAGGTACATTGTTCTTCCATTTCTCTTTATGTTTGTTTGTTCCCATTTTAACAGAGAACTAATAGAAGTCATGCAATGCTATGATTCTCAATTTTAAACTGTATTTCATGTCCTAACTATTCAAGCCTTATAATATGGGATCTCTACACCTGGTTTGATTGATCTTGGAAGCTGACGATTATATGTCAGTATGGAGGATGGAAGGCTTGTATATTTTTTAACCAAGGTTTGGTCTGGGAAAGTGTATTGGCATTGCTTCTGCTTTTCTTCTTTTTTTTTTTCTCTGGTGATGGGAATTGGGAATGTGGGCGTGGGTTGGCATAATGTGCGTCATGTGATGAGTTGTTTTTTTCGCTGTTATCAAGTGGCAATGTGAAAATATAAAAAGGAAAAAACAAATTGTTGTTTTTTGTGTGTGTGTTGTTTTGTTTTGGGGGGGTGGGGGGGGGGGGGCATTGGTTGTTGTCTGTATCCATTTTTGCTTTAGTTTTATGCATGATTTTGCTCTCATGTATATAATTGATTAAGTGGATGTGTGTCGACGTTATTTATTTCATTTTGACATCAGTTGTGGACCTAGTACCTACCTTCTTTTGGCTGATGTTGAATATGTACCTTTCAAGCAAGTTCTATGCACTAATTTTGGCCGTGGGATGTTTGCTTGGTGTCCCTTGTTGTGTATTCCATTATGACATCTTTTATTTTTTCTAATATAAGGGTTTATGCATTTTTTAATAATTTTAGTTTCTATCTACAGATCCGTCCACTGTGGAGGCACTACTTCCAGAACACTCAGGGTCTTATTTTTGTGGTTGATAGCAATGATAGAGATCGAGTGGTTGAGGCAAGGGATGAGTTGCACAGGATGTTGAATGAGGTATATGATTTTTTTGGCCATGTAGATTTCACTTCTCTATCTTCTATGATTTGTCCATGCCTCTCTTTTATATATATATATATATATATATATATATATATATATATATATATATACATGAGAAAAATATTTCTCAAGCTGCTTGAGATATATTTATCTTCGGTCGTCCCAAAACTACATCATTTTGTTTATTTATTTCCTTATATTAATTGATTCTTCTTTGAATGGTTATGATTTCTTTTTTCTCTCTCTTCCTTTGTTACCTTTGATCCATCTTTCTACGGTTATGATTTAGTAGCTGGAGATAAAGTTATCTCAAGCAGCTTGAGAAACGATAAGCCCTATATATATATGTGTGTGTGTGTGTGGTGAGACTATGAGGTATCCCCTCTGGTTCGGCTCATTTTGAACCGCACATAGGACTCATTACTGTTTGACCACAAGAGCATGAGGGTCATGCGGTCTCCCCAAGAGTTACTTCCCTGGGATTCGAACTTGCATTCTTGTCCCAGGAGGTCTAGATTGCATACCACCTAAACTCACGCTTTGTGGGTTTTCTATGATGTTTTTTAATATCTCCTTTCAACATTTTGAGTTTTGATGATCTCTAAAGCCTTAAGACTAGACACAGCTCTTATTTAAAGTGTTTTAGTTTGTTGAGTATTTACTCTCTCTAAATTAATTTTTCCTCTCAATTTTGCTGCAAAGTCTGACAATTTGTTGTAAGGCCATATCCTTGTTTGTAACCATATTAAAATTTAGAGTAAATATCCTTTTTGCTCCTAAGTAAATTTCACGATGCCCGTTTTAGTCCTTAGCAAATAAAAAGACCCATCGTGGTCCCTAAGAAATTCAAAATGGACCCATTTTAGTCCTTTTGAGGACTAATATGGGTCTTTTTTAAATTTGTGAGGGACCACAATTTCAACTAAATGGGTCCATTTTGAATTTTTTAGGGACCACGATGGGCCTTTTTATTTGCTAGGGACTAAAACGGGTATCGTGAAATTTGCTGAGGACCAAAAATGGTATTTACTCTAAAATTTAATTCTCTTCAGGAGCGTGTGTGTATTTTTTGAATGCTTAAAAAAAAAAAACGCAAAAAGAAAAAAGGAAGAGGAATGAAAAGTTATTACATTATGCAATGATGTTCGGAATTTCTTAATTATCATTTGACCTTGATAGAACTCTGTAAATGAATGTAATCTGAATGCCTTGGGCTCCTCACTCATTGACCAATATTCTTATTCTGCTAGAGTTTTTTTTGTTTTTTTGGTGTGCTTAAGGACATGTACTCTTGTGTTGTTTACTCATACTATGCACGTGGGTTTCACATGTTGGTATGTTAAATTGAATGTTAATTTTGTTTCAGGATGAACTTAGAGATGCTGTTTTGCTTGTTTTTGCCAACAAACAAGATCTTCCCAATGCAATGAATGCTGCAGAAATAACTGACAAGCTTGGACTTCACTCACTCCGCCAACGCCACTGGTATGAAGTTCTTATCTTTTGTATTGAAATAAACTCTCAATTGTGTAAGCTTGACTTAGCTCAAACAGTTATCTTAAAATGATGATTTAGAATTTATTGCATGTATGTGGGAGGAACTTCTGTGATTTAGTCTGTAACTACATTAATTTATGGCAAAACTGTGCATGCGTGAACCATCCTTTTCCATGCAATGGCATGTTTGTTTCAGGTATATCCAGAGCACTTGTGCAACTTCTGGAGAGGGTCTCTATGAGGGTCTGGACTGGCTTTCTAACAACATTGCCAGCAAGGTAAGTCACAATGCTATAGCCCTCATTAAATAAAATGTTATTGTGAGCATGACACAATTTGAATGATTTATATTGTTTGTCCATTTGTTGATGACTACCCACCCTCCCTCATGTGGTTGTTTTGGAACAACATTTCCGTTTAAGTATGTAAAGGTTAAAGGGAAAAAATGTAATGTAAGTAAAACTTAAAAATGGACTTTGGTAAATGTTAATAGAATTATCTGTAGTGCCTCAAAAGTTTGTCTATGAATGCTTTTCGGCTGAACAACCCTCGTGAAATAGATTTTAACATGACGTTTATTGTTTATAAATACGGTGGCTAACCTACCTGTTCTGTTTTCCTAGGCATGAGACATTTGAAAAATTTTGGTGTGGTCTGGTTATTTCATGCTACTCTGGCGGTTCTTAGAGAAGGATGCTTTTACTTGCAAGTGAATGTTGTAATAGCAGAATGTTTGTTAGAAATATTCTCTTTAGTGTGACTTGGGTTTGTATGATTTCTTAAATTGGCTAATACTTTTAGCTATAATTCGACCTCTTGTAATCTCCTTTGGCGTTGCCTTCTTCATGTTCATTTTGTTAGTTTGACTATCGATGGAATATTTCTATGGGTTCTGTTCTTGGAGTATTGTTGACAGTGATATTGTCTAGCTATTGGTGAAGCAGCATACAAAAATGATCCTGATTTTGCTCTTGGGCAGAAATCATCTGTTCAAGTATTATCTTCGAAAAACTCGATAGCGTCTCAAAACTACCACATTTTATTATGGTTTGTTCCGAACATTTTAACATAACACAGAGCCCGTTTGTTTGGACTTCTCACAAAAGTAACTTTTATCTCTTCTTTATTTTAGAAGTATTTTTATAAAAGTTAAAGCTATTTATAATTTTATAAAAATATTTAGTTTTTGAAAAACATATTCGGCTTTTGGCTTTTGTTTTTTTTAGAAGTTAAAATTTTTAGCTTCTGAAAAAAGTAGATTTTTGACTTTTTTTGTGACTTCTGCTTTTTTTTAAAAGTAAACATTCAAACGAATTAAAAATGAGAAGTGCTTTTTTTGTTATTGAAAAAAAGCAGTTTTTGAAGAAAAAAAACTCATCCAAACGGACTCTTAATCCGCCCCTTGTGTTTCACAAGGGGGTGTAGTGTTTTTTTTCAAGGATTAGTTTCTTATTGCTGAGAATGTTTAGTTGGGCATAAACGTATTTTATGTTTGTTTCAAAATTTGAAAATATTTCTAAATTTATTCTTTGACATTTTTTTTTAAAGATTATATTCCTAGTAGCAAATCATACTTAAGGAAGGTGAGATAATTTTTCCACTTTTTAAGTGAAGTATGATTTTTCCCGCTTAATGGATAACCGTTTGCTACCAATGGGTAGTCTTTCTCATCTTAAATTGCCAATTAAAGTGATTGGGTTTGCACCAATCGAAACCATAAATTCAATATACAATAGAAGAATATAAGAAGAAGAGTATATATTAAGAGTAGATTTTTTTTTTTGCAACGTTATTAAGTAAGATGGTGCATGACAACCTTTCCAGAATCAATTCTTTTTTAATTTCTGTTTTCGGGAACAGAAATGGATAGGAAACTTGTTTGGTAAAATCGGTTTATTTTTTTGTTCCCGGGATGAATCGGTTTAATTTTTGTGCTCGGGAACAGAAAAAAGAATCAAATTTTGTTTTTGCTTTTTTGTTCCTGGACACAAAATGAGAAACACTTATTTCTCACAATTATTCTTCACCACTATCATCATCACCACCACCATTATCCCGACATGACCACCGCCACCATCGTCGCCACCGCCGTTGTACCACCAATGTTATCGTCACAACCACCACCACCACCACCACGATGATGCTGCCGTCACCGTCACCATTACCACCACCACCAACACGAAGTCATCGCCACCACCTCCACCATGCCACCGTCATCACCTCCATTACCACCGCCGCCACCACCACCATCGCCGCAGCCACTGTCGTCACCACCACCGCCACTGCCATCTCCGCCGCCGCCGCCACCGCCACCACGACCACCATTACCACCATCATATTCACAACCACTACCATCACCACCACCCCCATGCCCATCACCACTACCATTACCACATCATCGCCTCTGCCACCACGCCACCGTCACCAACCACCACCACCATCGCCGCAGCCATTGTCGTCACCACCACCACCACGCCACCACTACCACCACCATTTTACCACCATCATTGCCACATCCACTGCCGTCACCACCACCCCCACAACCATCACCACCATTACCATCACCACGTCATCGCCACTGCCACACCGTCACCAACCACCACCACCACCATCGTCGCAGTCACTGCCGTCACCACCACCACCACCATGTCATCTCCAACACCACCACCACCACGCCACCAACCGCCGTCGTCGCCGCCACTACCATCACCACCATCGCCACCATTACCACTACCATCGCCGCAGCCACTGCCGTCAGTACCACCTCTATTGTCGCCGCCACCATATGAAAAGGAAAGTGATGATCTAAAAAAATTATGCTTGATAGGAATTATTTTTCATTATATTATTTGTTGTGTTATCAAACGCAATTCTCATTCTCAGAATAAAAATATAACATGTTATCAAACACATTTTTTTTCTCAGAAACTGTTCCAAGGCACAAAAATAGAAAAGAATTGTTTCTTTTCAAAAACAATGCCAGGAAACAGAATGGTTGTCATGCACACCCTTAATGATTTTTGTTTCTCAAATTGATTCTCTTACTATCCTTATCTTTTAGCATTTTTAAAAAGAGGTGGGTGAACAGGTGGTGGGTTAGTAGTTGCTGAAAAGAAGGAAATTATTTATGTTTTAAGGATATTTTCGTCTTGAAATTAAAAATTGCTTGAGATAAGTCAGTTTGCATGAGAATACGAAACATAAGTTTTCAACAAGAAGTCTGATCTCTCATTACTCAGGGAATTTTACTCTTCAACATTAAGAACACTTTTATTCCAAATTAGTTGATAAAAATAAACTTCATATATATATATATATATATATATATATATATATATATATATATATATATATATATATATATATATATATATATATAGGGGCAGGATCATCTTACACCGGTGTAAGAATGATAAGTCTTACACCAAATCATAACCATTGATTTTGTGCATCTAACGGTTAAGATTTATTATGTCTCTCTCATTAATTAATTTTTAATTCCCAATAAATCTCAACCATTGGATGCACGGAAATCAATGGTTAAAATTTGGTGTAAGATTTATTATTTTTACACCGGTGTAAGTTGATCCTATCCCACATATATATATAAATATATATATAAATATATATATATATATATATATATATATATATATATATATATGGGAGATGATTAACTTATATTTGTGTAGGGATATAAGAATAATAAATCTTACATTTAATCTTAGTCGTTGATTTTCGTCAATCAAATCATTGTAATTGATTGAGTTATTTTCATTAATTAATTATTAATTTTCAATAAATTATAATTGTTATATTTACAAAAATAACAGTTAAGATTGGGTGTAAGATTTATTATTCTTATACTGGTATAAGAAAATCTTGGTTTTATATATATATATATATATATATATATATATATATATATATATATTATCCATTCAAAAGTAGCAAACAATTATAGGGAAAAATAAATTAAATTAAAATTCAAATAAAGATCTATAAGAGGACATAAAAGAATAAGAATGTAAGAAATAAAAAATAATTAAATAGATAATGAAAATACCATAAAAAGAAATATGGGAAAAAAGAAAAAGAAAAACACAAATAAATAGGAAAGAGAAAAAAGATTGAAAGGAAAAATGGGAAAAAAATAGAAGGAAAAAGAAAGAGACGGGTGAGATAAAAAGAAAAAGGAGTTAAAAGAGACGGTCTGGAATGAAAACTGTTGAAGGATAAGGAGAATACGACGGTTCGTGATGACATTCATGCTGATGCAGTAGCTGATAGCTGACGTGGAGTTAGTTTTTTCTTTTATAAGTCGGTTAACAGTTCCACTATTTTCGGATTGTTAGTTATTTTCAGTTCTACCACTCTTAGCATCCTCTGTATTTTCACTTCATATATAACGTGTAATAGAGATAAATGATACACAAGATTATTCATTCTTCCATATATGAAATACCAGAATTCTTTGTTTCTTAAGATGGTATCAGAGCTTCTCAAGAAGCTCTGATTCTTCATTTCTCTTCGTTCTCAAGAAGCTTGAATCACAATAATGTCGAATTAGAGCTTAGCATTCAATTTCATTACAAATCCATCACATCCATACTACCTCCATCCAAGCGAGAACCCTTCACAAGTATTAGTTTCTTCGGTACTTGATGGAAGAAATTATCACACCTGGTCTCAAGTTGTTTCCATGGCGTTGCTGTATAAAAACAAGACCAGATTCATTGATGGAAGTTTACCACCACCTCCGAGCATAGATCCTTCATATACTGCATGGAAACGCTGCAACACCACTGTACTGTCATGGATACACCATTCCATTTCCCCTTCCATTCTGCAATTGATACTTTGGATAGATCGGGAAGACGATGCCTGGAAAGACTTGAAAGAACGCTTCTCATAAGTGGATATTTTCAGAATCTCAGACTTACAGGAAGAGATCTACAAGCTGAGACAAGGAGATAAAAATCTAAGTGACTACTTCACACATTTGAAAGGCCTATGTGATGAACTGGAGAATTTAAGACCATTACCAACCTGTCAATGTGTTATGGCATGTAATTGCCCAGTTCTACTTGAATTTTGAGTTAGAAGAGATCAAGACCATACGATCAGGTTCTTGAAAGGGATGAATGAGAAATATGCTCCAGATCGATCTCAGATTATGCTAATAAACCCTCTGCCTGATGTCAACAAGGTGTGTTCAATGCTAGCTCAACAAGAAAGAGAATTTCACTCAAATTTTTTTGTTGATGATATACCAAAGGGCTTTATCAGTCAATCTGATGAAAACAGAAGAAACTATGCATCAGGAAGAGGCAAAGGACGTTTTGGCTATAGAGGAGGTAGAGGACGAGATTCCAAGTTTTGTACTCATTGTAAAATGAGTAATCATACCATAGAGAACTGTTACTTCAAACACGGATTTCCTCCTGGATACAGAATGAGGAATGATCAAACTGATAGTAGTACAGCTCGAGCTAATTGCACAGAAAGAAATATGGATCCTTCAGCTGTGACTTTGTCCAATCAACAATTTCATGACCTTGTCCAAGCTTTGCAGCTTTTAACAGAACATCTCCACTCCAATAATGTTTCCACATCAGTTAGCCATGGTAACCTTGCATCCACATTTTCATTAAGTGTAGAATCAAACAAATCTGGTCCAGGTAATCAGTTGCGCTGGATCCTTGATACTGGCGCAACTGACCACATTACCTCCAATATTTCTTGTCTCACTTCTATTCATAAAATTGATCCTGTGTCCATGAATTTACCGGATGGTTCTAAAGTTCTTGCATCATATGCAGGCCATGTTCATTTTTCTGATGACCTCATTCTATTTGATGTCCTATATGTTC